GTGGGAGGAAAGAGCGAGGTTTCGACTTGTCGCAGAGGGAAACCTTCATAATTGTGTGCAGAACTGGAACTTCTTCTGTAAGTTTCTTATATGCGGCGCAAGAGTTTTTTTCAATTGTTATATCTTTATGTATGCAAAGTATGATTATTGAGAATTTTTCTGTTGTAGAATGTCAGGGAGATTATTTGGAATTCCGCGAGCGAAAACTGAACACCCTTTAACTGACATGATTTAGGTAATTTTACTGCAAGAAATAACTAAACCAATGCCTTTTTCAGGCTGATTTGACCTTCCCAGAATTGGGCCTTGAGTTGAAGGAAAAGAAACAATTTGTACACACATTTTCCTTCTTTCAATCCCCATAGGGAGTCCAGGATAAATGTTATCCAATAAATCCACCGAATGTTATAGAGAACTGACTTACAGCGGATGCTGAAGGATTTGTTGGGGAAATGTAAGTAACTGATGGCGTCCTGCCAACGGAATCTTCTTTCCATGACGTCCCGGGGGAGGAGGGCGAGCCCAGGACACTTCCAAACGGCTACCGTTCTTAATAGGCGATTATGTACCTCAACTGTTGCAATGAAATCTTCGTACTCTCACCAAAGTAGCTCCATTCAGCTTTTCCAGTGCTGCTTCTGCTTGTACTCTTTTGTGAAAACGTATAAACCCGTATGTTCGCTGAATTTTTACTCGAGCCACTCCCTGCAATGTAGGCAATAGCCAGATGATGTTTACAGGAAAAACATGCGTTCTACGCGTACAGCTTCTTCTGCTCCAAAGAGCTGCTTGAGTGCGTGCTCCGAAGTGCCTGGTGCTATATTCCTTATGAACAAGTTCGCCACCTGAAAGAGTGAGATCGTTAAAGAGTGAGAACTCGAGCATGTTTTTTTAATCGGATTGGTAAGAGACAAATATAGAAATTCATTGGGATAAATTCCGAAAATTTGAAATTTTCAAATATATAGTTTTCGATTGTTATTTATTTCTTAATCAAGTAATATTCGGTGCGTTTTTGAGTAACAAAATCTCTTTGTGGTTGATTTATATCGAAAGCCACATTAAACGCCTACCGTCTTCATAATTTCCGCTGAGACGGTGTGTTCTGCTCGTGCCCAGTCTACGGTAAGCGCCCGTCCTCCCATCTAAAGCAAAAGGTCAAGGGAAATCTCAAAAACATCCATGGACATGGAAACATAATATAACGGTTGGTTGTTTGTTAGTCGTTCTAGGAACGTTTGCATATTGGATTGGAGAGAGTTTGCTTGGATTAAGCGCAAACAAGGATCACAAGGCGCATATCCTTGCCAATCAAATGTAGCTTTTTGACTGCAGTTCAGTTTTTGGAAGTTTCGAAGGCAAGAACTGAAATTTGTCCACTTTTTTCTATGTAATTTTTAGCGTAGT